CCCGAGGTGCACCGAAGGGCGGCCTACCCGTGGTGGGGGTTCGCTGACATTTCAGACCCGGGAGGCCCGGGTAGGGAGCCCGGGTCTCACTCCGCGCTTCCGGAGCGCGGGCCGCAGACCCTCTGCGTTCCTCGCGGGCTGGGTGCGCAGCGACAAGACTGGCTCAGCCTGGCCCCCAGGACACGAAGTCCACGCGGGTGACGAGTCCACGAACAGCTCGGGCGTGTGACCTGGGCCACGCGGTCTTTCCCGAACGAGGGCTGCCCCTCTGGCGGCCTGGGTCACCCCGTGTTTTGCCCCCAACCTGACAAGCGTGAGGAGCCAAACCCTGAGGTCCCACCCTGACGAAGCAGGGTCTTTACAGGAGGAAGCTGGGGGCTGGAGGTGCTCAGAAGCCCCTCCAAGGCGGGGAGGTCAGTCGGCCGGACCTCAGGGCCTGCTTCCCTCTCCTGGGCCACCTCCATCAGCACGACTAGGGACAGGCAAGGCCTGGCCAGGTGAGCAGCCCCAGGTAGGGCACCAAGGACCGAAAGAAAGCCCAGAAATGACTCATTTCCAATCTGTAAACCCATTTTTTATTGACATTCTAATACTCCCGCCAGATTTCCTCATTAGGGTTTTACAGTTTATAGCTGGGCTCTGGTGGCTGCAAATCGAGCAGGAATGACTCTCGGAGCAGTAGGCCCAGGGCAGCAGGGCAGCACACAGGAACTTCAGTTCCTTCCGAAGCGGGCTGGAAATTCCCGAGGAGGCGGCCCCGGGCCTCAGCCCGGGAGTCCCCCCCCCGCCCCCGTCAGGCCTTGTTTGGGGATGGGCTCCCGTGGGCACCTGCCTGGTGTGCCCCATGTTTGGAGACATATGTGGGTGGGTGTGTGCCCCCCATCTCGCTCTGTGCTCTGGAACGAGTCACAGCAGAATCACAGGAAAAACTGGGTAAGGCCACCCCAGGGCTGGCTGCCTCTGGCCAGCTGCCCTCAGACCTGACAGTTGTGGACTCTCTCGGGGTCCTCCTGGCAGCCAGAGCTCCCCGAGTCCCTCCCTCTGGTCTTCCCGAGGCTGGTGGTCTAGCTCTTCTGCTCGGTCTTGCTCCCACCAGGAGCTCCCCACAGTGTAGGTGGGTAAGCCCTGGTCTGAGGCGGGAGTCCTGAACCAGGCCCTGCGCTAGGTTCAGCTGAGGTTGTGACCTGGTGGGGGTGGGGGTGGGGTGCCGGTGTCAACAGCCCCTCCCTTGCCCCACTCATCTTGCCAGATGGGGTCCCTGGGCCCAGTAAGGGAGCCTGCTGGACTGTGAACCCCTCGAGGGCGGGGCCCTGCCCACCTCCAGCACCCCCTTCCCTGCATCTTCCCAGCATCAGGGGAGAGGGCATAGGCCCTGTCCCCTGGGGCCTGTATTTACCTCTGGACAGTGCCCAGGGCTATCCCCAGAAGGTGGGGGGTTCATAGGCCCCAGCGCAGGTGGGTTCAGGTCCCCTGACCTGAAGAAGGGCATCTGGAGACCCTGTAGGGCCCGGGAGCAGAGCCCGGGGGTGAAATGTCCCTTTGACACCCGCGCAGGCTTCGGGGTGGGCAGACAAAGGGGCCCTGTGAGCTCAGTGTGGGAATGCACGGCCACCACCATGGGCCATGAAATCGGTGGCTTGGGTGCCCCCGGCAGGGACAGAGCGGCCACAGGAGTCTAGCCTGATGTTGCCTCCTGCCCCACCCGGGGCTCGGCGTGAGGGTCAGACAGGTGTAGCCAGGTCTGCCACTGTGGGGTTCGGGTGACAGTCACACTATCTCTGGGGAGCCGATGGGATTCCCGTGGCCGTGCCGTGGCTGGGAGGGTATTTCTGGTCTGAGCCGCTGTGGTCCACACCCTGGGAGTTGCCCCATTTGAGGACAGCAGGGGAAGAGGGGCTTGCAGGGCACTGGCTCCCAGTAAGCTCTTCTTCAGTGTTTGCTGAAGGAATGGTCCAAAAGGAGGACATTTGTTCCAAATGCCTTGGAGGGAATGGGGAAGCCAGGCCCCGCCCTGCGGCCCAGAGAAGCCCCTCTCGGTGTGGGTGGGGTTTCTTGGTGGTGTTGTATAGATAAGCAGTTCGCTGGCTCTGAGTGAGAAATCCCTGACCTGGGGTCTGGGGGGACAGACTCGACCCTGACCATGCGGCAGGACCCCGTCCTTCTCCCCGTTGGCTCCAAGGATGCTGGCCCAGGAGTGCCACCCTGAAGGGCCGTGGTGGGTGGGGGCCAGAGTTGGAGAGGGCCCCCTTCTTTCTCTGGGGACCCCCTTCCTTTAGAGGCTCACAGCAGTGGGTATTGGGGGGGGGGAGCAATGTGGGCAGGGGTGGAGCGGTCTGGGGAGCATTCTGGGATATGGGCTGGGAAGGTCTGGGTGGAGCGGCCTGGGGAGGACAGCGCAGAAGAGGCGGCTGGCCAGAGCTGGGCCAAGGCCTGCGGCCACCTTAAAGGCACTAGGCGGGGGAGGGAGGGTGAGCAGGCAGGCGGGCAGTGGGGGCGGGGCTTCCAGCTAATTCATTAAAATGTGTCGGGGAGCGTGGGAAAGAGGAGAGTGTTTCTTCCCAGCAGCCCAGACACCTGGTAGAAGGGCCGAGAGAGGATAGAGATCAAATAACAAACACTCAGCCCTCGGCCAGAGCGGAGGAAGGACGCCCGGGGCAGGAACTGTGGCAGACAATCACTGCGCGGCCGCTTAGGGCACGGCCTGGCACTAGGGCCGTAGCCCACCCTGTCGGCGTGGTGCCTGACCCCTAGCCTGGGAGGGGGCCTGAGGCAGTCCTGGGGCCTCAGAAGGCTTTTTGGGCTGACCTCCTGATGGCTCAGGACCAGGGGTCGGGGGCTGGGGCCTAGGATGGGGTTGCCGTGGGGCTGGGCTGGGCTGGCAGCGAGTACGTGAGCCTGGGAGGGTTTCCGGGGGGACACGGCCAGTCTGGGCAGCAGAGGGGTGGGGAGGTGGGAAGGTAGGCTGGACGGTACGCGTGTAGCTGTGAGGGGCACACTGGGAAAGAGGCCCCACGCAGTCGCCCTCTTCTCCCTCTAGAGGGTGCGCGGGGCAGTGGGGTGCTGGGGCCGGGCCTGCCTGGAGGGACAGGAAGGACACGTGGTCTCCTGTCTCCCCCGTGCTGGTTCCTGGCTCTGGCCTCCTTGTGTTGAGGACCAGCTGCAACCACCACCAGGGCCTTGGGTCAGAACAGAGTCTCCAGAGTCTTCAGGAAGCAGCTGGGTTGGGCAGTGGGGCCGGCACCCCTGGCGGTTTCCTCCTGACCTTACTAGGGGAGGAGCGTGGTCAGGGCTGCCTCCCAGGACAGGACGCGGGCCACTGCTCTGGCTCTCGGAAGCAGCACCCCGATCACAGAAGATCCCGAGCCCTGGTGGGGTGTCTGCTCGCCCCCACAGCCCCACGTGGCCCTCGGGCTCAGCAGTGACCGAAGGGTGGGGGAAGCCAGGGTTGCACGCTTGGCCCTGACACGGTGCCCCTGCTCAGCCCGGTCCTGTCCTGAGTCTCCGAGTCCCTCCCTCCATCTGTGCAGTAGCATCTGGTCCGGCTGGCCCCAAGGTTGCTGCGGGGCCAGGTGGGCCAGCGCCTGGCACGAGGTGGGCGTTTTCAGGGAAAGGAAATGATGGGCAGTGTGGCAGGATGGGTGCATGGCGTTCAGCATGAGCCCCCAGCCTCATACTCTTGGGCCTGACCCCCAGCCCAGGCGGGGGCAGAGGTAGGCCTGGCACTGCCAGCACCCACCTGGTACCTGAGGCCGTCACACCTGGGCCTGCAGGTGCACCCGCTCTGGGCAGAGGCGGCAGCCCCGCCCCGCCCCCCCCCCCCCCCCCCCCC